GGGAACTACGTTTTCAGAGCATTTCGAGCAAGTGTCCTTTGTTAAGTGACAACTATGTTTTCAGAGCTTTTCGATAAAAAGTATTTTGTTTTTTCTATAGTTTACGATAGCTACATAATCAATAGACGTTGTTACTTGACTACTTCAGCTCTCCATCAATGTCTAAAAGAAACTTATTTTCAAGTGAAACATAAGCGTATCGGTGGTGTTTTCCCATGACGTTTCGTATTCTTTTATTATGGAAAGTGATTTAAAACACCCCGATAATTAAATTTCCGTAGTGATTTAAAACACCCTGCTTAGCTTGTTGAAGGCTCTTAAAATGTGTGTATGATTTATAAGAACGAGCATCCCATTGGCACAGTGGTATGTCTTCAAATTTACAATGATAGAAACCGGCTTTCGACACACGTTGTGTGCAGCGCACAGATAGCCCCTTGTGTAGCTTTGTTCTTAACTCGAAACAAACAAACATATAAGAATGAAAAAAAAAAACACTAAACCGCAGTATCTATATGTTTTACAATTACGCTTATTTTTATGAAACTTTCGCGTGTGTTTTTTTAGCGCAAAGCCACACAATGGGCTATCACTACAAGTAACTGATCCCCATATTTTAGCGTTGTAAGTTCATATATTTATCACTGGCCCAACGTGGAGCATTTTGTGATATTACTATTCCAAATTAGGTTTTGCAATACGTTATTATTTGCTGGACTATATTTTTATTTATCATGTTATTTCAGTATGGTTTGACAAAACTCGAGTAAAATAAAATACTAAAACGTACTTAAAGTCAATTTGAAAATGTCGTTTATTGTAGAATGGTAAAATATTTGTCCCATAAACAAACAAAAAAAAACATTATAAATTTTGTTCCCGTTTCCTGCTTCATTGGACAATTTTTTCCGATCTTGTAAATTCGATTGAACGTAATATGCTCGTTTTTAATGAGTTAATCGACAGTTTTTATTCTCTGTCTCGTATTCATATGTCTATCGAAACTATAAACGGATTATTCACACACTCTTTCTCTTTATACCTATAGAACTTACGATTGGAACCACTATTGGTCAAAAATGGGGGAGAAAGCAACCTATCACGTTCGACTAGTTGTATTTGGTGGAGGAGGCGTTGGAAAATCTGCTATTCTTAAACGATTTCTACTCAACACCTTCAGCGAAAAACATTCTCCAACTGTAGAAGATCTGCATTACAGGGAGTTCGATTTGGGGACTTTCATCTTGAAAGTGGATTTTCTGGATACGGCGGGGGACAACCAATTTCCTGCTATGCGACGACTTTCCATCGCTAATGCCCAAGCATTCCTGTTAGTTTACAGTGTCAATAGTAATGGCTCTTTTGAAGAGCTGAAGAAATGTTTTGGGGAAATTCGAGAGCAGCGAAGCGATTTCCCAGAAATCCCTTTAATCATCGTTGGGAATAAATTGGATCTGGCAGCAGGAAGAAGAGAAATTCTTAAAGAAGATGTCGCCGAGTGGATTTTTTGTGAAATGTCTCACATGCGGGTCAAAGTAATGGAATGCTCCGCTAGGGACAATATTAACGTTCGGGAGGTATTCAAGGCATTTCTACAACTTTCCAAAATCTCATTTCCAGCAGATACCACAGCTTTGCACCGACGATCCAGCGCTCATGCTTCTGGAAGTAGCAAATCCCGGTCATCAGAAGAAAGTTCGGTTCAACGGCGCAGCCGCAGTCTCATTCGACGAGTTAGTAAGAAAATGACGAAATTCCGAGACAGTTCCCATAGCGACACAGAAACAAATGAATGTATTACATCATGAATTTTTAAGATTCTGGGCTTGGAATTAAACAAATACGCCCAACTACTCCATGTATAATGCGAAATTTATTTGAGATGTCGCTTTTCACGAAGTAGCCTGTTTTTATGAATTAATGGTTTTTATGGCCGTATTCAAGACAATATGATTTCATTGAATTTTAGTAAAAGAGCATTTTTGGTTTTTTGCAAGAGTTTTGACGTTATCTTTATCACTTTTCCTATAATTTTGCCATCTTTATTATTTTCTCTTTTCTTATTGTCTTTTTGTTGTTGTTTTCTTCTGTTTTGACCCCTAAGATCGAGCTTTATTAGCTTTAGGGACCATTAACAAATTACTTGATTCTGTAAGATTTTTAAAATAATGATATCAGTATTGATTACTGGATGTTAGAATATAAAGCACTTTTAATCTTCCTATCGCAGTTTGTCGTTGTTCCAAAAATGTATGTATTTTAGCAACGTTTTTCACAAACGAAATGAATATTTGGAGTAAAAGATGCACATTCAGCGATGCAAAAAAACCAATGAATTGTCGATCTGTGCTTATTGTCATTCAATAGATATACAAGTTTTTCATTTGTATATATATATTATTGATTAGTTTAACGTTCGGGTTGCTTCAGTGAAACACAGTAACATTCTTACACGTGAAAATATCGAGTAATATTATTTACTAAAGTAATCCTCTACCATTACAGCAATATATCAATAAATGCCCACCAGTGGCACAGCGGTATGTCTGCCGACTTACAATGCTAGAAACCGGGTTTCAATACCCGTGGTGGGCAGAGCACAGATAGTCCAATGTGTAGCTTTGTGCTTAATTCCAAACAAACAAACAATATCAATAAATAGTTACAAATTCTCGACAATTTCTTATTCAGGTGTAAAATATACGTTAACGGACTTAGGACAAATGATTGTTGTTTTTCTCTAACTTTATTGCGTAAAAAACGCAGAATATTTTTTTATACTTGTAAGTTCTGTATCCATTAAGTGCAGATTTGAAGATAGTGAGCGTTTTTTTCTCAAACAAAATAATGATTACAAACTTTCAGTGACAAATGTTTTTTTCTCGTAGCTTGCAGTCAGTAACAGCGCTAGTTATTTACGTTATAGTCTTCGTCACCCGGTGATTGGAGCTCCAAAGAGTAAAATAAATGTATATTTAGTAGTGTATTCATAATATCTCGACAAGTTCACAATACAAGTCTGAATTTTTGTTGTGCTTAAGTCGCTTCCGATCTAATATATTTCCAGGTTACGTTACACTTTTTGTTACGTTCCCAGGATAAACGCATTTCATCCCGCGATTCAGGATAAACGCATTTCATCCCACGATATGTTTTTAAGACATACTTTACATTTTGATACATTTCCGTGAATCTTTTAACTTTTAAAATGTTTGCAGAATTCAGTTCAATCTCTCAAATGTCCGCAGTCCGAACAAGTTTCAACTTATGGCATATTTCAAGGAAAAGTTTCAACCTGTGGCATAATTCAAGGACAAGTTTCAACTTAATACACTTTTCAAAAAGTTTCAAATTACGACATATTTCAAGGACAAGTTTCTAAGACGAAAACATTATGTTTTAGAATATTTGTCCAGGACACACTTGATATTTTGATATATTTGAAATATGTATCTATGCTACAAATTCTGAAATGCTTCTTAACCAAATACGTTTCAGCTTTTGTTTCCAAAACACGTTCTAGCGTTTGAAATGTTTTAGGACGAATGAACTACAACCTGTAATATGTTTTTAGAACACAGTTGATCGTGTAATGTTTTTCATCAGTGCTTTGTAATGGTGTAGGTCTTTTCTCAGTGCTTTGTAATGGTGTAGGTCTTTCATCAGTGCTTTGTAATGGTGTAGGTCTTTTCTCAGTGCTTTGTAATGGTGTAGGTCTTTCATCAGTGCTTTGTAATAGTGTAGGTCTTTCATCAGTGCTTTGTAATGGTGTAGATCTTTCATCAGTGCTTTGTAATGGTGTAGGTCTTTCATCAGTGCTTTGTAATAGTGTAGGTCTTTCATCAGTGCTTTGTAATGGTGTAGGTCTTTTAATCAGTGCTTTGTAATGGTGTAGGTCTTTTAATCAGTGCTTTGTAATGGTGTAGGTCTTTTAATCAGTGCTTTGTAATGGTGTAGTTATTTTATCAGTGCTTTGTAATGGTGTATGTCTTTTATCAGTTCTTTGTAATGGTGTAGGTCTTTTAATCAGTGCTTTGTAATGGTGTAGGTCTGTTATCAGTGCTTTGTAATGGTGCAGTTCTTTTATCAGTGCTTTGTAATGGTGTAGGTCTTTTAATCAGTGCTTTGTAATGGTGTAGGTCTGTTATCAGTGC